GAGATAACTGCAACAAGTCAAAGTATGATCAGTACCTCCGGGAACGTAAGCTATTAGCGCACGAAACACCTGCGCCCAGAATTGGCCAATGGCATCCCTTTGCTTCGACAGCTCGTCCTGCACAAACTCAATACTCAAGCCTTGTATTCAGCAAAACGAACCAAAGAAAAAGAGAAAGGAAACAGAGCTTCGTACTCACCTTGTCTGGATGGAGTGTTTTCCGATGAAATCTCATGTGCCGACGACAATTGAAAGGAGAGAAAAACTCCCGGACGCACTTGTCGCATTTGTGTGTCTGGATACCCGTGGGTACGAACCATGTTGTTGGAAACAAACCTATAAGGAATTAAACAAGATGAGCGAGATGAAATAAATGACACGGACTCTCCTAAACCTCTCCAACTATCACTCACCATTCAACTCATAATCTCCTCGCAGCAACGCTAAGAATGCCTGGGGTACTCTAAGCAACTTAAACCCATTCCCCAATCCAGATACTCCCCTCTCCACACCCACACCCGACCACAGGCTTTCCGATCTACTATCCCCTCTCAATCCCTGGGGCAACTTACCTTCCCCGAAGCGATCCATGCCTCGGCAAGACCTCTGGAAGCGCTGGATTTCTTGCGAAAATATGCCCGAGTAGGGTCAGCTTTGGCCCAGCGCCGTCGCGGAATCATCATCACTCGGCGAAATCCGCGATAGCTTGCGAAGAACAGTGTCGGAAGTGTCGAGCTTCATCGCGGCGTCATCGGCTGGGGGCCTAGGACAAATATTTCCAGCTATCCGAGAGAAAAGATCGAGGAAATGAGGAGAAAGGAAATGCGATCACAGCATTCACGATACCTGGGAGAAAAATCCGGACTCCGCAAACCTAGCCGGAGCATCGTCTCCCTGTCATGAAAGAAGCGGAGTAAAGGCGCCACGAGCGGTGGGATCGATCGATCGAGCGCCTCTCAAACCTAACCCTATTCCAGAGGAAGCACGCCAACAAAGTTTTAAGCAATGCTAGAGAATGCTAGAGAATATGCCACTTCCCGCCCAAAATGATTTCTTCGTCTTCTATATATCATACAAACAAACAGTCACCTCTCTCTTTTCTTTTCTTTGCTCTTCTCTTTCTCTCGCTCTATCTCTCTCTATCTCTCTCTCTCTTCTCTCACTCTCCCTCACTCAGCTCGCTCGCTCGATAGCTCACACGCCCACCCATTTCACCCACGCGAAGAACTTCCATAGCCCAAAGGGGAGGCCATAGTCCCTTTGGAATGCCGGCTCGTTCTTAGCGCTCCTGGGACGAGACCACACGTAGATCCCGCGCTCTTGCTTGCTGCCAGGAACAGTGTTGTCCAGGAAAAACGCCACCACGAAGGCTATCACCATATGCATTGATAGCAGGCTGTTAAAGATGAAGTTCACCTACACACACACACACACACACAAGATGGCGTTAGAACCCATTCTCAAGATCGTTCCGGAACGAGATAAGCTATCCAAAGAACAAGAAACATAACAAAGAATCTAGAGACAAGAACTTTGACACGAGCGAAACAAGACAAAGCAAACAGGCCGGAGAAAACTTGCAAGCGGACGAACTAACGATGCTGGAAAGGACTGACTTAAAACTCAGGCTATAAAGACGATGACTGACAAGAGCGAAGGAATCAAACAAAATAAGGAAGGGGGAGGGAGCAAACTTACTGTTCCGCTCTTGGTTTGTATGGGCCCGTGTGTAGCAACGGAATACGGGGCAAGAAAGAACTGGACGGAGTTGCTGCCAGCGTTATACTGCTGGAAGTACGCAGGCACCGATAGAGACAGGAAGAGCGAAAGCCCAACGATGAGAACGTTGCGGGAGCTCCCAGTTTCCGTGTAGCGGAGATACGACAGCCCCCAGGCTGTCAGCATTGCCCACATAATGCACAGGAGCGCAGCCACCATAACTTGGGGAATCGACGCAAGAAAGGCTCCAACTTTGCCTGAAAAGTGATGGAAACTTGATGAGCATGACAAAGCACGGAAGAAAATGATGCAGAAGCTTACCTATGAAAGACAAGGCTATGAGAACGAATGCACCGAATGTCACGGCGTGACGGCTTCCCATTCTCGTCACCGCGATCGTGTGTACGTTTTCAGTGAGAGTCGTTGCTCCGGTTCCGATTCCCCACAGACCAGCCAGAGCACTCGTAATGCCTTCCAGGCCTATGGCCCGACTTACAAGTCCAGGGGTTGGAGCTCTCGAAGCAACCAGAAGGGACGTTGCATGATAAGATCCTACCTGAAGAAAGCAATCCGAATACTTGTCAAGAGAAGAGATGACACCGGAACTCTCGAAAGCTTACCGAGTCCACTGAAGCTATGATAGAAGCAGCAATCATTACTGCCCCCGTTCTGAGGCTGAAAGTCGGAGTTCCCCATTGGAACGGATAAGGGAACCTTACCCAGGCTGCGTCTCTGAGGGCATGTGAAGCGTCGGTTCTACAACTTCTCATTGTATGGATGTGCCGCTGGCACGCCGCTGAAGGATTTGCCATGTCCATCTTACAACCTTTATAGTTGTAAGCTCCCGTTTCAGTTAACAAGAACGCGTAGGCCCAAGTTGTTGCCAAGCCGAGAGGCACCTGTTTTGAAGGATTTAATCCAGCTGAATCATAAAGAAAGTGAAACTCACAGCATAAATTTGGAAAATCCTATGCCCGAAAATTGAAATCTTCCGAAGATGCTGCAAACGGACGCGTCTGAGAAAATTTAGGAGAAGAACTTAACGCAAACAAACCAGAGCGAAGATGATGACCACAATAATTTGTGGTATCCCAATTTCAACACATGAACCAACAGTCGTGAAACCATACGTAAAGAATGCCAAACCAACGGCTGCTACAGTTGGCGAGACAATCACAGGATTTATAACTCTGGAGACATAACCCATCATCAGTTAAGAAGATTGAAGACATACATACCTAAGCAAAAATGACATTAGGCCACTGTAGCCAGCAATGATCTGGAACAACGAGGAGATTATGACGGCACCTTGTAGTTCCTTCATGGTGTGCTTGAACCTCTACAATAAACAAACAAACTCAAGGAAAAATCAACAGAGGAGTATCCTTACATTTCCAGGTACGTTGGAAAACTCTGGCGAGTTCGCAATCACCAAAGCTGGAGCCAGGTACACAAACGACGGCCCTTGTATTAGAGGCAGCCTTGATCCGAAGCACAAATGAATAAGCGTCGTGATCCCGGAAACAAGCAATGTAGTGGAAACCACTCGCGATGTATCATTCTGAGGATACAGAAAACAAAAGAATGCAAGAAAGCTTGCTATCATTGACAAGAACACTCAGCGGAGAAGTATAAACGACTTACATCACTTCCTCCTATGAGTGGGACCAAAACCAGCGGCACGAGAATCAGCGATCCAATGATAGAAAAATAGTGCTGAAGCCCGTAGAGGATCAGTGGAACTGTAACAACAAAAATCAGTTCGTGTGTGTCACAAGAAAGGCAGCACAAGAAAAATGATGAGCACCGACAACTTAACAGCAACTCAATCAGCTGAAGAACACCAAGGTAAACAAGCAAAAGTCTTACCGAGTCCGGGATTTTCCCTGATTTCGTATTTCATATGAGTCTGCTTGATCGATCCACCATCGTCTGGATCTTGGGACGACATGACGTCCGACTCCCTGTCCCTGAAATTCTTCATCGGCTCGATCCGAATGGGCTCACTAATTTTCCTCACACCATTACCACCAGCAGCAGCCACATTCGTCACTGGAACTGTCTCAGAAATCGCTGGGATCCCATTCTTTTCCTTGCTGGCCGCGGCTACCGAATTCCTAAGTCCATTCCCGTTCAATGCCGCTGGAGCATTCGTTCCAACGGTAGCTCCACCAGCAGCATTGCCAAAAACTCTCTCCCTGTATGCCGGCGGCTTTGGAAGCTCTTGCTGCTCCCCAGTCGAGAAAGTCCCAGTGGTCTCGCGACTCTTGTAGCCTGTTCGTCGAGCCCAAGAGCCGAGCATGCTGGGATTGTAGCCGTGATTCGCCGGAAGCGGCTCCATCACCGTGGGTGGCCAGGCACCGGGCTTCTTACCAAGAGACGGCGACTCTGGATCGTTTTGAGACCTCGAAGGAGGAGACCCCAGCATCTTTCCTCTCGCTCAAATTGTTCTTCTCTTGCGCAAGATCTCGCCAGGCTTCCTCCCCTCCAACTCTAGAAATCGCCCAAGATTTCTGGAGCTAAGACCTGTTCCTGGCCCGGATTGTTCCCACTCCCGGTCACGAATCACATGGGTTGCTCGAGCTGCCAAATGGGTCCCCGGAGCCACTGCCGGCGTCATCAGCACGTTGGAGCAGCTGCATTGTTTGCCTGGCTGCCAGATCTATCTATCTATCCTCCTATTCTTTGTTTTTTTCCCTCGTCGCCCACTTTGCCTGGTTTGCTGGCGCGCAGATCAAGCTGGCACCCGCGAGAGATCAGCACAAAACAATGCGATAGAACGCGCAAATCTGCGAAATGGAATGGTTAGCTCACCTCGTCTCGAGGCCGCCGCCGCGCCTTTACCGCATGAATGAAAGGATGAATCAGAGAGCTATGGCCGCGACAACGATCTCGCAGCTAGAGGGGTAGCAGCGCCTCCTCGCCCGCCTCTGTCTTGTTCCGTGATGGCGACGCAAGAACAAAGAAAAGAAAGAGGAGAAATTGGCCGTTTGATCTGATCAGGCCCTACCGCGGCGCTCCCCACCACAACAGCAGACGCGCACGAACACGAGGGAGCACCGATTCGACGCCGCGATCGCCATAGCTCGGAGCTCTCCGCGCGATCAAAATATCTGGGAGAGAAAACCTAGCTCCTACCTAGGGATCTTTCTTTCTCTCTTCCCCTCTTTCTTTGCTCGTTCTTTCTTTCCTTCTTTCTTTCTTGCCAGACTGGTGTGTATCGTGTAGCTATAGCGTATATGTTGTGGCTACTACTACGGTATCGAGTAGCGGACAAAGAATATGCCCTAGGATAGCAATGGATATTCTTGGAATCTAACCGTTGGGCTGCTGTACATGAGCACTGCTCTGAGAATCGATCGACGCGAGAATCTCATCCAACTCCTTCGATCCTGCAAGAATCTCACCGACGCGCGGCGGGCTCACACTCGGATCTTCGAGGAGCTCGGCGATCGCGCTGCCACTGACGACGTCTTCCTCGCGAATTCGCTCGTCCAGAGCTATGGCCGCTGCGGCAGCGCCGAGGATTCGCGCTGGGTCTTCGACGCGACGAGAGCCAAGAATGCGCATTCCTGGGTCTCGATGCTCGCGGCGTACGCGCATAACGGGCATCTGGACGAGGCCAAGAGATTCTTCGCGGCGATGCCCGACAAGAACAGGAGCGATCCCGTGGCTTGCAATATCCTCATCGGCGTCCACTCGCAGTGCGGCGAAATCGGCGAGGCTAAGAGGCTCTTCGATCAAGCGCCGGATCGCACAGTCGTCTCCTACAACACCTTGATCCAGGCGTTTGCTCGTAGCGGGCATTTGATTTATGCGAAGTGGATGTTCCATTCCATGCCCGAAAGAAGCATCGTCTCCTGGAACTCCATCATCAGTGCGTGTGGAGAGCACGGCCTGGTCCAGGAAACCAAAGAAATCTTCGATAGAGCACCGCAGCGGAATGTAATCTCCTGGAACGCGATGATCCAAGCGTATTCTTCGAGCGGGCATCTGGGAGATGCGTCGGCTCTGTTCCAGACGATGCGAGAGAGATCCGTAATATCCTGGACAGTGATGATCGTCGGCTACGCTCACAGCGGCGAGCTCGAATCTGCCAGCGCCGCGTTTGATAGGATGCCGGAGCGCGGCGTCGCCGCCTGGAACGCGATCATCAGCGCACACGGCCAGAGCAAGAATCTTACCGCCGCCGAGAGGCTCTTCGATTCGATGCCGGAGCGTAGCACCGTGTCGTGGAACGCGATGCTCCAGCTCCTCGCGGACAGCGGCGAGATCGATCGCGCGAAGGAGCTCTTCGCTAGGGTTCCTCGTCGCGACGTGATCTCGTGGAACACGGCGGTGAAGCTCCACGCCGAGCTGGGAGACGTGGATGGCGCGATGGGCCTCTTCCACAAAATGCCGCAGTGGAATTCCATCTCGTGGAACATCCTCTTCCACGCGTGTGGCAGCGTGGAGGAATCTAAGCATCTGTACGACACGATGCCCGTCCACGGCATCGAATCCTGGACGACCATGCTGTCCACGTATGCCGCCGGTCACCACCTGGAGCCCGCGCGCGCAATTTTTGAAAAGATTCCCCAGCGCAGCTTGGTGACGTGGAATGCGATGCTGACTGGGTATGCCACGCCAGGGCATCTAGAGCGCGTGTTAGGGTTCTTCGAGGCGATGCCCGAGAGGAATGTGATCTCGTGGAACGCGATCGTGGAGGCGAATGGAGGGGAGGGGCGGATCGATGTGGCGAGGGCGGCATTCGATTCCATGCCCCATCGCGACGTGGCGTCGTGGACGGTGATGCTCCAGGCGTGCGCGAGCAATGGGAGCTTGGATCGCGCGAAAGAGCTCTTTGATTCGATGCCGGAGAGGGATGTGGTATGCTGGAACGCGATGCTGGCGGCGTATGGCGGCGGCGGCAGCTCGATCGAGGCGGCGGAGGGGATCTTCGCGGCGATGCCAAGGCGCAATTTGGTGTCGTGGAACGCGATGATCCAGGCGTACGCCGCCGGCGAACGGATCCGAGACGCGCAGCGCGCATTCGATTCCATGCCGCGTGGAGGCGACGATCCGCGCGCCAATCTCTTTGCTCTGACCACGATGCTCGTCGCCCACGCCGCCGCCGGCGACGTCCATCGCTCCAAGGCGCTCTTCGACGCCAACAAGAAGCACGACGTAGCACTATGGAACGCGATGGTGGCAGCGTACGGACAAAGTGGCCAGCTGGTTCAGGCGAAGGCGGTGTACGACAAAATGCCCGAGGTGAGCTCGGTGTCCGAGACCACCATTTTAACCGTGCTTGCGCACAACGGTCACCTGTCCGCGGCCCGGGAGTGCTTCCACTCCATGGCCGAGACGACCATCGTTGCTCAGACCGCCATGCTAGCGGCGTACGCTCAGAACGGGCACGTCAAGGAAGCCAAAGAGCTCTTCGACTCCATGCCCCGGACGAGCTTTGTGTCGTGGAACGCCATGGTCACCGCTTATGCCCAGAATGGCCATCCCCGGGAGGCTCTGGAGCTCTTCCACTCGATGGTTCTTCACGGCGAGAGGCCGGATGAGATGACTTTCTCGAGTATCCTGCTCGCTAGCAGCCACAACGGGATGGCGGACAGGGGCTGGAGCTACTTTGCGTCGATGGTGCCGGACTACTGCGTGAGGCCCGTGAGGGATCACTTCTACTGCATGGTCGATGCGTTTGGACGGGCCGGACGCTTGGCCGAGGCAATGGAACTCGCGGAGAGAATGCCGTTTGAGGCTGATGTTGTGGTTTGGAGGAGCCTGCTGGGGGCTTGTCGAACGAGCCGGGACGTGGAGACCGGAGCTTTTGTAGCCCATAAGTTGTTTGAAGCGGATCCCGGGGACTCGGTGGCCTACACTATTCTTGCTGGGATGTATGCCACCGCTGGAATGAAAGACGAGGAAGCCAAAGTGATGAAGCTGATGGAACAAAACTGTGATAACAAGAACCACCAAGTGAGTCAGCCACCACTGCTCGAATGATAGATTCTTACCTCGCTAGAACAGTTAACTGGAACGAATTGATATCGTTGATGGCGATCACAAAATGGTGGTAACCATTCTTATACCTGTACATTAACTAACTCGCGCTAATCAAAGCAGCTGCCAGCTGCTCTTCTAGGAATCTCACCCTCTCTACCTGAGTAAAGAATGCTGTGAATAACAAAACTAGCATACCAGTAATGTTGTTGCAGTGTTGGTTCGTCATAGCTTTAGTGCCGAATCTCCCGGAATTTCTTGTTGTCAAGACAGGCAAACTATTCACCTGTGAGCTCGAGATGAAATGCCGAATCTGGACGTCAGACTCACGTATGCGGTCCGTCAAAACCTCAATCTTCCCGTACATAAAATCAATTGTTTCCTGGGACCTGGCGTTGGCACTTAAAAGCGCGGCGTTTTCCTGAAATTACGCAGTCAGTCGGCAATTGACAAGTAGCTCTCGAGGTTGTAGTTGTTTTTACTGACAGCGAAAAGGAGCTTGTTGACACTCTTGGTATTCATCAGCTGTGAAATACATTGCTCCAACACATGCTTCAACTGGATTTCCGTTTCCGTGAGTTCTGTTATTCTGCAAGGGGAAAAGTATGTAAGTCTGCGAAAGGCAATGGAAAACAGTTTTCACCTTGAATAATATGCGTCAGAAAACTTTCTCCTGTCGAGATTACACTGCAAACAATAAAGTTATACATCAGTTGCAATTATATATCCTACACTGACATCTACCGCAAAACAAAGGCTATAACAATCACGACCCACCTGATGCCTGCTACAAGTAGAACCTCGTCCTTCTCAGCCTATATTCTTGATAGAAATTCTCCTTACTACACTAGTACTACCCCCCAGACAACACATATTGTAACGAGCGGGTTAGCTTCCCTCTAGCTATCCTCACAGCCCAATCAGATCCACAAGCTTTATGAACGACCACCATAGCAGATCATAAACCATTTCGAAGCAGGAGATGCTTCTCACCTGTTGGTCAATCTCATCCATTCTCTCAACTTCGTCTGTATATCTTCCCTTTGGTTCGAGTTGCTGTCGCGCACTACACTCACTTTCCTTCTCTAAAGTCAGACACTCGAGCCCGTTAGTTTGCTTATCACTGACGCCCAGCATGGCCGTCCACATAAAGTCTTTTGCTTCCTGCATCACCTAGTTAGAAGTCTCTCCAGGAAAACAATGTCAAGTTTCTTACTTGGATGGCAGACAAGACTAAAGATCGGCAGTCTTTAAAAACGTCCTCCAGAATCCCTGCATGTGCTATACCCACGACCGCCTCCTTCTCCAAGTGTGCGACGTGTTTCTCCAGCTCTTGCCGAAAGAGCACTTCTTGCAATAAATCCTCCTGAAAAACAAAAATTAAGAAATTCTAAAACCATGCGCCAGCGACTACCTCTAAGCACTTCTTTTCTACCATTGAAGAGTAAAGCTCTGTCCTCATTCGTGTCAGCTCCTCGTCCTGTTTAAAACAATAATCACAAGCCCTTCAATTCTAATTGTTACCTTGGAAACGAGGGATTGCTGCAGCACGTCATATTGTGTCTGTAAATCAGATGATTCAAACTCATCCTACATAAACAGATGAATCAGCCACAAAACTGAAACTGAGTAAGAAATAAACTTACAGCCAAATTCTTTACGGCAATATCAGTAGCAGAAGACATTGAGTCCGTATTGTCACTTCTCAAGTAGCCTTTATTCATACTTATCCACGTCTCCTCGTCAGCAACATTTTCGAAATCTGACGGAATTGAAACCACCTCCGCTTGTGTTTCCTCTAGAGGAGTATCGTTGAAGTTGCTGTCGTCGTCAAAGAGCATTTCAAAGGCCACTGGAGTAAGATCTGTATCCTTCCTAGCGGAAACCATTGGAGATTCCAAGTTTACAGAATCCTGTATCAAGGTCAATGGTGAAACCCATGGTAAAGGCAGCATGTACCTTTAGAGAGTTTGGAGTGACCAAGCGTGGACACCATGTTTCACGCCGATTGCTCTGAACATGTAATCGTAAGGAGAAAACCCAAATAGCGAAAATGGCAGTACCTTTCTTGATGGTTTGCGATCATCCCACGTAGAACTAATCACTAGAGTGCTCAGGTTTTCAATCTTTCGCTCCTGTTCTTGAATCCTTATCTCGCGGTCTTTTTGAGCTTTTTTCTCTTCCTCAAGCTCCAGAGCCAGTCTTTCACGTTCTAGCTCGAACTGGCCACAAGATCATCGGTAAGTTATATTCCATTGTCAATGACAAAGACACTAACCTTTAACAGATCATTCCTCAAGTTCAATATTTCCTTCTCCAAAACTTCAGATCTCGTACCCTGAATCCACTAAGTTAGGCAGAGATTAACGTGTTCGTATGATATCCAAACCTGCAGTTTCATTCGTAATACTTCGATTTCTTTCTTTTGCCGTTTCAGCAAGGCTGCATCTGTGATTGTCTATCGCATAGTAGCTATGTCAGAGCAAGTTTCCTGGTCGGGCAAACAGTACCTCATTAATTTGTGCACATGTTGAAACCCGTTTAGCTCTGCTGGCAAACAGCAAAGTTCCTCGTGTCTCATCAAGCTGCATCTGTGAATTAACTTGTGTCAATTATCAAGGACATGCAGAACCATCCGCAACGTTACCTCATCCGGAGTAATTGTGCAGATGACGGCAGTTTTAGCATTTCCATCCAAAGCAGACTGCAGAATCCGAGTTAACT